CACTTCTGGTCGAATGAAGGATTAAAACGAACTAAGTACGGCGTTCGTCAAGGGTGCCCTATTTCGTCATTCCGTTTCAACTTCGTCGTCGACGAAATGCTGGATAACGCACCTAGTGGTCTCCAAAATCTCGGTATTGAATAGGCAAAAATATTTAGTGAAATATAGGTAGCAGCTGCATAAACGAATGGTAAAAGACTGTTCCAACTAATACGTAACATGGCAAGTGAGTGAACTTCAGTTCGTTTTACATTTCGGAACAAAAGTGGGCAAGCTATTCACAATAGGAAAAACGGCTTGATTTTTGGGCGGAGTAAATCAACGAACAGCTCATATGGCTATTCCCTTACCAGACTATCTCGTCTGTCATAGCTGAGGCTTCGTCGACAGTGTCATGTGAAGCTTCTACTGAAGCAGATGTGCGATCTTGCATCCAAGCCCTGGAGAAAGGAAAAGCAGCAGGACCTGACGGGCTTCGTCCCACTCTTTTCAAGGGAGGAGGGTGGACAATAACATCGTGGATTCCATTACTGATTTAATGCGTCACATCTGGTCAGAAAGGGCGCGTTCCGTCATCCTGGGGCGAATCACTGGTTGTTTCAATTTTTGCGAGAGGATCTCGCCACATCTACGTAGACCACCATGGAATACGTTTGGTCCCAATCGTCACGAAGTTATTGGCCTCCATCATACTTCTATGTCTGACACCGTCTAGGGAGACAAATATCCGCGAACACCAAGTAGAATTTCGACTAGGGTTGCGGTTGTGTCGACCGACTCTTTACCCCGCAGCAAGTCCTCGAACTACACCATACACATCGTCGGCCAACAATCGTAGTGTTCCTTGACCTTAGAAGAGCGTTCGATTCAGTGAACCATGGAGCCCCAATGGGGTCATTGCTCCGTCAAGGAATGCCGCGGAAGTATTGAGGTCAATACTTGCATATTTCTGGTAGCGTGAGAGTCGAAGGCTGACGTGTTCTGCGCATAAATGAAAGGACGGATAACCGACATTCAGGGCTATAAGTTCAGTTCCGTTCAGTTCTTATAATCATTAACCGTGCACTTTCGTGCGCCGGTTTTGGTTGCCCATTTGGATAAGATAGGAGAATGATGATTAGAATGTTGAGGGCAGATTAACGTGAAAAGTAACATTTTCACAGACTGAAGTTACAAGAATAATGAGTAGATGCATGAGTGTCACTATTTGCGACATCCTACCGTATCGCTCATTTTCTCTAACCAACGGCGACCATGATCTCTGGGTTCCCATTCAAGGAGTCCAATGGGACCTACGTGAGGCAGTTTCCAGGTCAGGGTTTTCATACCGCCATGCCAGGTCTTTTTTCCAATCGCTACCTGCCTCACCAAGCATTGCTCGATGTGGCAACCTATCTAGTGATATGCGTAGCACATGTCCTGCGTAATCTATGGAGATCAACTACCTGTTCCAGTGGACGCCGGCTGTTATTTAAAACTGTACGCCTTACCTCAGCATTGCTCGTCCGGTTTCACCACCGGACTTGTGGAATGCTACGTAGACAGCGGTGTTCGAACACCGACAGTCTATTTTTAGCCTAGTCCGGTAATGGCCAATTCTCAACCCTTCACAGACAACCGGATGTCGCGATGGCACCGCATATATCTCAAGTTGGCAAATGCCAATCGAGCTTTCTGTATGCGCGCCGTCACTTCATCTGTGATGCCTCCGCCAGGTGAGATATAGCTTCTCTGCAACTTCCTCGGTCAGGGTGTGCCTGGGGACTGGGCCAACTCATCCGTTCCAACTTTGGATGTGATACTGGGCCAACTCAATCTTGGAGCAGCATTTTACATTTTGAAGTTGCAAAGCTCATGCCGAACATCGCTACACTGTCGAGAAAACTATCCAGAAAAGCTTGCAGCTTACCTAGATCTTCACTTAGTAGCACAATGGCGTCTGCATACTCTAGATCAGACGGTCTGCCACCTGGGAGTAAATCGATGCCGCTATTCTCGCACGACAATATGGCTGTTAGAAGAAATAAATCTGTAACAAAAGTAAATAGAAAAGGAGAAAGAGGGCAACTCTGTCGAACACCAATTTCTGTGGTGAACTCGGGTGAAAAAGTGCCGTAAGCTGGGACTCGGCTTCGGCTTTTATTAGAAAGGGATTGTAATATTGAAATAAACTTCTCGGGCACACCCTTCAGGGAAAGGGAGCGCTAGAGTTTAGAGCGGTCGACTGAGTCGAAAGCCGCTTTCAGGTCAAGAAAGATGGAAATGGTGGGTCTACGAAAGGAGCGTCTGTGTTCAAGAACTTGACGAAGAGTGAAGATGTGGTCGATACAACCTTGACCAGGTCTAAAAGTAGCCTGGTGTGCACTCTTCCCGAGCGACAAACAATCGACAGAGTATGGTGCCGGCGAGAAGTTCAGAGACAATGTTGATTAAACTAATTCCTTTGTGGTTTTCATAAGAGGACTGGGTTAGTGGACTACTAGTAGTTCAACAACATCCTGATTCCAAACCCACCAAGAGGAAGCATACGAACCGCAGACATCTTCCCGCTTCTGGCGGTTGTGATCACTACCTCTATTGGGCATCGAGGTGTATTGGGCACCTTTGACGTTTAACCCCGTCCAAGGAGAAAATGATCCGACTGACTGGGCACCGGCCCCCAGTGGATTGTTGTTCTTCGCTCACTGCCCCGCGACCTTGTGTGTCAGACTTAGGCGAGCCAAATGCTCCGGTTGTATATTCCTCAAGAAGATTCATTTGCCTTGGCCTGGTGAACTTGGCAGCTTTCCGCCCACGTGCTACCTATTCTTTTTTATAAAGTCTATTGTACCATGATTTGTTTGGCACGCGTTCTAGATTCGGACTTGTCTAAAAATCTGCAATAAATAACACGTGTAACTTCCCTCATCCTGAAGAAAATTTATTTTGAGAGAAATAAACGCCGACCTCCAAAATTTTAGCTTGAGGCACGGGGCTCGTTGAATACGCGTTTCATACTGTCAACATGTCCCAACCAGATGAAACATCCAAGAGATTTGGGCGTATATTTAAATCCGGCTTGCTTAAGCGGGTCTTCGGCCGGTTTGAGTCAGCTTTATTCCCCTGCCTACTATCAGCATACATTCGACCACTCACAGAATACGCTATCCAGGCCTGGAATCCATGGCTACAGCGTGATTGCAAGATGCTGGAGCGTCCACAAAGGATGGCCACAAAAAATGTCAGGGGGTTGAATCGGTTTTCATACGTAGAGAGACTGAAGTCATTGGGATTATATTCCAGTCATTACTGGCGCATCAGAGGAGATATGATTATGGTGTACCAAATAATGTAAAACCCAAGCCATCCGTGTCGCTCGCTTCTGAAAGTATCACCCAACGTTCATCGTAGAGGACACCCATTTAAATTAGTGGTCTCAAAATGCCGCTTGGAATGCCGGCGTCAGTCATTCGCAGTCAGAGTGTGTTCGATCTGGAACTCTCTACCATCCTACGTCGTTTGTGCTCCAAGCATTGAGTCTTTCAAACTGAGGCTCGATGAAACACTAGCACATCTTACGTTCCAACATAAGTGAAGCTGCGTAAAGCAGTGGAAAACGCACGTATCACGAGACAGTTTACAAAAAGAATTGTATGTATCACTGTTTCTTAATCCACCGCACGAACCTATGGGACCAGAAAAGCATGAGCTTGTAAGTTATTCCAATAATAAATCTTTGAGATGCTCATAAATCCGATGTTTCAGTTCTTGACTTATGCAAATGCTTCATTGGAAACATATGCCCAATATATCACAACGGAATTTCCCATTAAGACAGCAGCAAAAAAGAAGTAAACCCATCACATCGAAGCAAGACGACCGTTGGGTACGATGCAGCTGAGAACAGTTGCAAGCAACCAAACAAGGGGAGAATAGTTCGGGACCGATTAACCGCAATTTCCTAATGTCGTTGCTCAGAAAATGATGGCTGAATTCGAACTGAAGCTGACGCAATGTGCTATGTGGTCGTTCTTGAACGCCCAACAAATGGGAGCACATATTGGTTTTACCCACAGACTCAAACCGCGTTGCTCGTCCATTTTTTTAAATTATCATATTTCCATGTTTGATGATCAGCAGACCAGCAAAATTCCATAGTCTCGTGGACCTGCTGTTCATTGATAGAAACCGGCTACTCGAACCCCGGGACGTGGAGTGGTGTATCACATGAAACCCTGTTAGGCGTTGGTTTTATTTATTTTTGTATTTCACTCACGTTTGAGTTCAGACTATCTGCCAAACAAATCGCGGTACAATAATCTTTATCAAAAGAAGAACGTTTCATGATTTGCATATTGGCTGAATACTGCTAGGTTGCCCAGGCCAAGGCAGGTGAATTTCCTTGAGAAATCACAACCGGCTAACCAAAGCCGAACCCGCGAGGCAGCGGGGCGATGTATGAAAACCGCAGTCCATTTTGCGCGTGTGTCCAGTTAATCGGATCATTTTCCATTTGAACGGGGTCAAACATCCAAGGAGCCCAATACACCTCGATGCCTAATCAAGTGGCCGTTGCCACAACCGGAAAGGTGTGGGTGTAGTTCGTACACCTCGTTTTGGTTGGCTTGGAATGAGGGTTTTTTGCAAACTCCCCTAGGTGAACTGGCAGTGGTCCACCAACCCGAGTATAGTAACCCCGTCCTCTCACTTTGGTGGGAGAACACCACCGACACGAGCAGACAGTGTGTAGGATTTCATAGCAAGAAGTTAACTGCATGGTGTTTAGTGGCGTAGACAGTTTTTAAAGGAAGACGAGGTTCGGCCAAACGTGACCTTATATGAGGCTGCGAAGACGGAGACTAGTGTGGTGGTCGGTCACAAGTTAGTTTAGGATCCGGTGAGCACCCTAATTTTTGGTAGGCAGCATTGAGTACGTGCCTAAGTGTTCTCGGTAGAGGTGCCGGTTCGTCTAATCATTTTCCTCGCAGTTTATGTTGACATTCTTCTCAACTTCTAGTGAGCACTCAGTTCTTTCTTCTTGGTCTACCGAATGAGTTGTCGGAAGAAAGCAACCAAATTTACCACATCTGCATCTTGATTGGGTGATCGACTTAATCATCTTTCAATGAACTCATGTGTTTCTTCCAATTATCGCAGCTTGTTTATTCAGCAAATCATAGTGACTGATGCTCGTTGCCGGTTATAGTATTTTAGTTCATTTCTTCTATTATTACCTATTCAGGTTTCCCTGCTACTCGAATTGGCCGTAGCTGTCGCTCAAGCCATCATATGGGTTGATCATGATAAAACCTCCCGCCTTTCCCCAACAAACCGTTCCATGGACCTCGTTCGATCCACTCGCGTCGGGTCTCTGCTTCATCATTGTGACGGTGATTTTCAGCAAGCATTGGCTGTTATAAACACCATTGGATCAATGCGACAGTTGTCCTGTAGCTCGTTATCCACACGTTGTCGTTTAATCAAAACGTTCACATACTGTTGGGTTCGAGCAAATATGAATCGTTCATGTGCGGTTTCTGAGAACACTTTATTGTTGAAGAATGCCTACCGGTCAATTTTACCGGATGTCAGCCAGTCAAACCTTGAGGAGCTTCTCTTATGGAATTCGTCTATCACTTCTGTGCAACATTTGTTGGATTGCGAAGATGTTAATACGGCGGATACCGGTTTAGAAGTCAGCAGTACATCATTACGGCAAACTTGTGCTTGTGTACTGCAATATCTTCAACCGATCCTCCAAAGTAATTTTACTGCTTAATCCTTTTCATCATCAGAGTTTGTAATTAGGGTTTAAATCAATTTTATTATCGTCCAGGTCAGTGCCAATTTCTCACCAGTGCGATATTCCCAAGTCAGAATCAGCATCATGCCTCCTACTGTTTCTGTTTCGCAGCTAGACATGGGGCTCAATAGCATCGCATACATATAATAGATTGGTGTCTGGAACGGTCAGTTTTACCGACTGTGTGGTAGTTTGCCTCAGACTCGGGTGACTAACATAAGCCCATAGCTCAACCGTGGCAGAATACTAGCGCTTTATGTAATTTACCTCAGAATGCCATCTTCCTCAAAGGGATTTTCAACCTCCCAAAGCATCCAGCTGATCCTTTTCATCCCCACCTAATGATAATGTAATTCCATTCACTATTTAAAATGATGAATTGCTTACTCTTTTTGAGAGTCCCCCTCGTTTGTTGTAAGATGAATTAATAGCCAACCCACGTTACAAAAAACCATAGCAATTACACTTACCACAGGAGTACGGCTATAATTCCAGTAGCGCCTAAAAATCTAAATTC